TTATCTAAATCAACTGCTTTACGTACAAAAGCCGGTCGGGGAGGGAACCCAATGCTTAATCTGGTCACATCGTTGGTTTGTTGGCCCTAAGATTGTCTTAACCGGTGTACCGGTATATGGGATACCACATCGTCTCTTTCACATTCGCAGTAGGTATGTACAAACGTACCCGAGCAACCAAAGACTGTGCCCAGTTCTAAATTCAATAAATAATCCCCTCCTACTGAGTGGCGTCGTTTGGAAAGATCGACGACCCCAGAAAGCCTGCTCACTCGATCAGCACGCGTTGCACTGAAAAAACAAACCATCCTAAAGAGAGCCGATTCAGTCCGCAACTGCTGCATTCAAGCGGTCCAGAGCACACCATGAATGACCCGAGAAACCGAGAGAAATATACAAGAATCTGTGAATCCCTACAGTTGTTCACCGCCACTCGACGTATGCTGCCTGCTGAAGGAAAGGGGAGATCGGGCCAACAAAAATAACAAGAAGGTAGAGATCACGCAGACTGGATCATTCTAGCCACGATCGTAACTCCTATGAATTGTCGATAGTCGGTGTTCATCCGGTGACGGTGGACGACTGTATTTCATTCGCGTAGTAAGGGGTAAAGGTGCATAACATCATGTGTCTGTGTCGGGGGTGAAGGACTTTGTCATTGTCTTACCTTGTTTGTGGTGCAGAGACGCATGTTCTGTATGCACCAGTTTAGAATGGGTGGTGGAGAGGTAAGCTTGACCACGTTGTGTTGTGAGCATCGAGATTCGGGATTTGGCAGCCCCCTCAGGTAGTAAGCAGGTATATGGGCAGCAAGTGACAAGGCGGCGCGCTTGGTGGTAAGTGCACTATAACTTGACGTAGCTGGGATCAAGGTGCACATCCTATATAGCTATCTGTTTTTTGGGATGAGATTCATGACTTAAAATCTAGATCTACATGATCCCCCACTCGAAGGAGCCTGTAGCGGTTGTTAGCGATCGGGAATTGCAAATTGAATGAGAAAAATGTGCCCTCAAAGTTAGAGCTTATTCAGTACTTGATCTTAATATGGCACGTGAATAGTATTACAGATCGATCAGTTGATGCTTGATGCTTTCAAGACTGCGTTAAGCAGTAAGTGCAATGGCGTAGGAAATCTTTACCAGATATCATCCCTTGAGCGGGCCATTAGAAGCTTTGCATCAATAAGAAAATGGCCAGAGGTCTCCCTAACTATACGAGAAGTGAATACAGGTATTCATAAGGGTGTCTATAGTCACATCCTGCAGGTTTTTTCGATCTAGGCCTGTGTAAGTGGAAAATACCTCAAGCTCAAGGCTCATTATAGTTACAGTTTTCAGCAGGCATAAATACACCAAATAACAAACGAAAAGGTAGTTTCACTCGATCTGAATACTCAATCTATATAAAACTACTATTATAGTATAATTTCCACTTGGCTATGGCTACACTTAGATATACGAGGTTAGATGCCACAAACTCGATGATTATGATCCAGTTGGTCGAAGTTTATGGCTCAAGACATTAATTGCCCGTCCCTCATTCCGACATTTGGTATTTCGTGGTATTACTGGTAGAATGTCGACTAGATCTAGACCATCGATCTATCGCAAGTTACTAGTAGGTCTATACTGGTAGTTCAGTTGGCAGATGCACCTTAGGACTATCGGGGGAAACTTTCAACGACACCGACGGACGCGAGACAAGTCAAATGACAAGGGAAATGACAGACCAGATGTTTTTTGATCTCTTCCAATCCCTATGAAGTTCTAAATCCCGAGCCGGTTCTACTTCGCACAAAACATATAGTCTCGAGATTCTATTATCGCTTGTTGGTGATACAACTGTCTCGGAAAGATTTGTTTGCCTTGTTCAGCACTGACCTGCCTTTGTCCTTGAGATTTCTGATTGTCTCCAGAGGAGATCTACCACAAAGAGAAACTTACAGATAGATGGGAGACACTGTGTAGAACAATCTCATGCAGCAAGACACGGAATATACACTCAAGTCTGCCCAGAGGATGAGAAGCTTCGGTCAAGGCGTTTGAAACTGCAACTTTCTCAACTATCCAGCCTCTATCGTCATCGTAAGGCTTAAAAAGGGTTACCGAGAGAAATTAACCTTCTCTGTACAGTTGAAAGAAAATAATACTGTCATTTATCACCGTCATCGTCACTCCGAGTCGGGTAGAGTTCACCATAGGTCGGGGATCGTGACAAAACTCTGATTCGAACGAAATGATGACATGAAATTCTGTATTACCGGGCTTGAGAGATAGTAGGTGTAAGCACTGAGGAGAGGCTGGGTCATTCCAAATGTGTAGATAAAATTTAGGAGTGACTTTTGGGCGTAGGAGGTTGTTTCGTCAAAGTGTGGAAAAGAGTGAAGGCCCAGGAAGAATCCAGAAAGTATCCTGCCTGCTTCGCTGATGCACTCGCCTTATTCCCACTCTTACTCTCATAACCAACTCCACACGTAATCCCCAGGCCAAGAAAAACCGGATAACCTGATCATGAACCGTCCAATCAAGATCATTGGCATCTCATGGGATCAATTTTTCGGCTGACATTCTTTCCAACACACAAGTCGCGAACGAAAAATACCTCACGCCCAAGTCCCTCGGTCGTAGAGACTCTCTTCAAACACTGAAAGACTACACGTAAGTTCTCGGCCGCGAAAACCACATATTACCGAGCGCCAAGCATCATCCCCAATCACTCATTCCCTATATCCAGCCCGAAAATCCCCAAATTAACCAGCTGTTGCCCGGTAGTAGGTATCTTGGGTATCAACACCCAGGTACCGGGCCTCTTGCTATCTATTGCTTCGTGTCTCAGCGGAGGTTTTCCCTCAAAAACGCTTTGAATTCCGAACCCAGTTCTAAGCGACGGTGACGAAGACGCATATCCCCCCGGACCCGACCCAAATGATAGCTAATATATGAGTGATCTGGTAAATAGGAGTGGCAATATAGCTAGGGATGAGGTTAGAGTGCATGTATGTGTATCGGTTGTTATTTACTTTGATTTGATGCTGATTTGGAATCAGATCAATCTGTCGACCAAGACATCAGAATGATCGTGAGCCACGTACTATATTGAGATCGATCAAGGCAGTTTTCCAGCTAAGCCCGTGACCAGGGGTATCTTTGCAGCGGTATTTTTTCAAGGGACAGAGTGATACGAGTGTAGTTACGTCAGGTGTATATTCTCATTGCGAGGCGTTGAAATATCCCTCCCAGAGGCCCTAAGTTCTCACCTGTCAATGCGCCTTGGTGCGTAAAAATATGCTTAAACTAGAGCTAAAAACGACAGAACCAGGGCATATATTAAGATGGTAGTTAGACCGAAAACAAGCATCGCTATATAGCCCAAATGTGAATTTTGTCGCCACTTTGGCTAGATACAGCCGGTTGCTAGGCTAGACTTGTCGAAATTATTGATACTGGTAGTATAGCCTATTAGCACAGTACAAAAAGAGCTTTCGATGAACACGATATCAGTTTGCGGGGGACAGGGGGGTATTCTCCGAGACATATTGACAGGAACCGGGCAAGCTGAACAGTTAGACAATTATATTCTAGCTTCCCCTATTGATCCTGACACTCGCGCGGCTCTCTCCGTCATCACGTTCGATATCCGTCAGCAACGCACCCCACGAAAGGGCTGCAGCTGTGAACTCCCTCGTGATATCACGGAGTTTCAGAACTGTCGGGAAACGAACAATTATTCGGTATATGTCCGTTGCCAAGAATCATCGTTAATCACTCACATTCAAATTAACTATTACGGCACTAAGGCACCTAAAATAGGGAAATCTTTCCTCTATGTAGCCATTTATATTATACGAGGTTGACGGCAGTTGCCTTATTAAAGCTTTAGAGAGAAAACACAGGGATCAGGTAGCGGGGGAGGCTAGTGTAATATCTATCAGGATAGAAATTTCATTAGAGGTGAGATCTCGTTAACTTAGAAACCTCCTCGAGGGGTAAGGTACGTACGTTCGTTACTTAGGGAAAGCAAATTAAGGTAAATACATACACGACGTGGGCGCTAACATTATTTCTCTCTTTAGCCATGTTTGTATCAATCTTCCAAATAAAACATCTCTCGGACCCTAGTTGGCATGCACTGGACGCCCTTCGTGTAAAGTTTCACGATCTTCTATAGTCTATTTATGTTTGACGTATGTCGATACGACGTTCCTGATAGTACTGAAACTAGTAAATTCTGTTCAGCTTGAACTTTCGACAAGGAGCGTGTGCACGAGGTGAGGCAGGATGTTCCGAGTGACCTGGTACGTGCGGAGGGTCGTCCTTAAGCAGTTTTAGTTGGAGCTATATCAAAACCGCAGTACACGAACAGGTAACACCCTGGATAGGTAAAGTAATGGAAAGAAAAATTGTCGTTTTTTCTATGCTTGCAGAATGATTGATCTAACGTTCATGCATGCGTATGGGGGCTTCTCCCGTTCATGCTGCAGCGCTGCTTTGTTGTCTGCGGACGACTTTGTGCCGGCGTGTTCTATGCAGGGCAGCTAATCCAGATCGAAACCATATGGGGAGAGACCAGGCTTGTAGGCACTGATCAATTCTCTCCTCACACCCCCCCCTTCTTGTGCAGACGTAGTAAAATTCTCGAAGCAAGTGGCCGGAGAGCGCTCCTAATACGGTCAATGCTTACGTTTACGGTTAAATATTACTCCGCCGCCACAACGTGCAACCAGCAACCAGAGGGGAAAAAAAAACTTCAAACAGGTTCTTGAATAAACTCCCTCAAACCATTCCCAGTTCTCTGGGTGCTTTGAGACCTGAAGCAGCTGTTGTAAGCACTCAACTTCATTGATGTATCATGTATGACTTTCCCTTTCCTCCGGCGCATACTATTCCCAGCAAAAAAGAAAAAAAAAGCTTGCAAGCCCTACATCTATTGTATGCAAGTGCGTATCTTTTCAAATGAAACGTCAGCTCTTGCTCGGTTCCATCCCAAAATCCATCAATTTACATAATAGCAATTACCATCTCGTTGATAAGAAACCCGAGTTTTGCAAGCTTCGATAGCGAGTGAGTGGGCTGGCACATTGTTGCGGCGGTGATCCTAGGCTTCGTCCGCTCCTTGAACCAGGTACCTACTGTACGTCTGTTACCAGTGCCACATTCTGGGTTGCGCGCTGCTGGGGGCGCGCCAATCATAAACTCCATTACCACAGTTTGCAGAACCCTCCTCCCATGGTATCCCCGGATTTTACCGTTTTTGATATGAATAGGGTGGCCAAGCAGGCAACATTAACAGACTCGCGTGCCATTCCCTTCGTGAAGGGCACCTGAATTATATATCGGTGAATATCGGTGAGTTGAAACGTCTACGCGTCGGTTTGTTTCGCGATCTCGTCTCCCTTGTTTGAGACCTCGCTAGCTATGTAGGTACTAAGCAATTAACTAGCTGTAGCTGTTATGCACTGAAAATGAAAACATGCCCCTTTCCTGAATTCACCATCTCTCCACACCATGTGCCTGTTTGTCGAGATTCTTCTCCGCAAAGATGGGGATGGAAGGGCTCGCTCGAACCATGAAGCAGCAACACCAGAAAAACGGCCTACCCCTCGAACCAAGAAACCACGATGATCACAAGGCAGGGTCTTCCCTTCCCTAAAGCAGTATCACTATCCCTCATGTATACCTTCAAAAGGTAATTTTAGAGGCTGTTGTTCTGACGTAGTGGTAAATTGACAATAAAACTAGATCGCTTGCCCCGTCCTCAAGCTAAGTCTCTGGGGTTTTGGTACTCGCAGCAGGTAACAAGTACCCGAAAATGCAAGCCCTAATCTGCAATTACCATTGGAGTAGAAGTCAAAAATACACCAAAACCTTGCAGCTACATTTTCGGGTACTTCAGGCCTGTTGCGAGTACATACTGGATACACTGGACCGTCTCATTGGCTCGCGGTACTTCAGTAGCATAGAGGACCTACTCAAACAGTTAGTTCTAACTATGCCTAGGCCAAAGCCTGCCTATTAAGGCCCACTACCACATGCGCCAATCTCGCTGAATAGAAATTCTGGTCCAAGTCGGTAAAGCTTGAAAGTGCCAATATAGTATTATCGACGTTTCTGTTTTGTCGATGCTCGGGATACTGTCCTACCATGCTCAAAGAGTTGTAAAGTAATCATTCCCGACGTATATGTACGCTGTCCAGCCTCAACTTGCTACTGGTCCGTTCCGTGGTACGTGGTAGAGGGGTAGAGGCATATAGAGTAACTTATTTTAACAGACAGAGAGCACAGACCATGTCAAACTCCCTCCCGTTATGGCCAGGTAAGGGGCTCAAATTTTGAACAAGGAAGGCCTGAAAAGAAAGGCTCTGCACATATCTACATAGAGTACAGATTCTGGATACGTATGGATTCGCGCCATTTGGAGCCTTAAACCCCCACCTGTATCTACGTACATGCGTGTGCAGCACGGAAAACTGAGGTTTTCCGGGCTGAGGATAATTAATAGTACTACTGCCATCCAACCGGAAAAATTATACCCGGAGCAAATGGAGAAATGAGTGACGAGCCTCCTACAGCGCGTACTCGTAGGTAGTGCTTTCTCTCAACTTCTCCCCCATTCATCATGATCATGAACAATTTTCAACAACGGTTCATCCCACTGCAAATCGGAACTGGGGTGGCAGATTCTCATAACCGGCATATGCATGTCGGTAATACGTCGGCCAGTGCATAAGCAAAAGACCTAGCTCCCGGTAAATCTTTGCCTTTGCGGGCTTTCATGATTGGTTGGTCTGTTGGCCGTGAGAGAGTAATGGATGTGATGAGATGGGATCTGCTATCTCTTGTTGTATTACTCGAAGAAGTATATGGACCCAACATGATCCGCCGTTTATAGGTACACAGCACGGGTATCAGCGGGTCATCGATGGGCCATGGCATGGCATTCACGTGGACTTGATGTCGCACGGGAGTTGTGAACTTCAGTGGTGGAACTTATGCAAGGACCGTCGACCTTACCCTGGAAGGTAAATATAGTGTAATAAATTCCTCTGATATATGTAAATATTTCTATAAACATACCATACATAGAGTAGACATCAGTAAGTAGTTAGTTGGTTGGTTGGCTGGGCTTACTAGCAAGCGATACCTGAATCATGGAGTTAACGAGCTCCTTAATCGCGGGGTGCCCAAACCCAAGTACTCGGTGAATCAACTGATACACCACTACGATTTTTTGAATCCTGATATCTCCACTTCTTCTTCCTCCACGGAGATATATTCTCGTGAAAACCAACAGCTGGACGGATGCTGTGTTTCCGGCCCTACCTAGTTACCAAATCCTGGTACACCGTAGGTACCTTGGTGGAGTGCTGCCTACAACACTGCCCACAAAAAAAATGATATCAGGATGATCATAAGGATGGACCTAGCTTCTCCCGCCGCAGCTTTGCGTTTTATTTGTTGCGAGTGTCAAAAAGAGCATCGCTTCAAGGATCCATCGTTGCCTTGCGGGCAGCCAACGGTAAACCAATTGTACGGGTCCGGAGATTTATCCCCAACCCAAACTGCATGCACATGTAGCAGGAATTCAGGGCTGCTGCGATGTGAGCGTTTCACGTTTTTCTAATCCTTGAGCTTCAGCCACGGTTTTGCATGGCGCCCACGATCATTTCGAGGATAAAAACGTAAGCGGGAGAGAGGAATATGACTAAATGTCCCAAGTAAGCAAGGACAGGGCCTGAAAGAGGCACCGCTTGAACCACCTGTTGCTGGTTTTGGTAAATCCAAATATGTAATCCAGGTCAGCTCCACTGTCGTCATTAGCCCTAGATCAGGCCCAATGCCTAATAATCTCCTTAAACACATCCCTACTTTGATTTCAATACACACCTCGGATATGGCTTATAGTGGTAGCTGATCTAATCGTAACAATCGCTAGGTCTTTCTCTTGTAGTTTCGCTGAGAAGGCCGTCGTGAGGTTAAGCTCTTTCAAAACCTCCGATATCGCTATCGGCAGTTTAAACTTAGGGCATCCCTATATGATATGCGGTTATATGTTTCAGTTCGTGTTGCACGTGGGGTAGACCGCAAAGCTTGGTCAAGGCCAATGACTGGAAACGCATAATATCTGCTGTACATGAGATCTTGCGGATATCTCCGCGGGAGTGACGGAAATGAATCCCTAGTTTCCGAGAGATATGCAAGATGTGCAATCTTGTTCAGGATATCTAATTGGCCGAGTAATAGTATTAGGTTCTGCAATGGCCAATTAGGAGGTGGTCGAGATCTATGAGTGATGGGAATCACGGATATCTGCTGTCAAGCACTAGTAAGTATCGAGGTTTCAACTGCTTAGTCTCCGCAGATTTCGAGACAAATTAAACTTCATTTAGAAGCACGTTGGTTTGAAACATTATTGCCGCTCGGGAAGTGTCTAGAATCAGAGTACGATCGTCTGAGACCACCATTCACCACTGCTCACCCAGGCCCATCCATAACCACAACGGCATGTAGAAGAGCACAAGGTGTTGGTTCTCGTTAGTGAGCCGGAATGATTGAACATAAGTTCCGTTAGCTCAAGGGTGAACCTCGGCACGGACAGAGCTAAGACACAACTCTCGGGTGAGTAAGACATCTCCTTACATACGGCACCTTGAAGATATCCTTTTGATGTGCCGAATCTCGACTCCCCCGACTGTCTTGAATGTCTCGTTTTTATTTCCAGCGTCAAGGGCGTCTACTCTAATCCGCGGGAAAGGGGATATGGTAATGGGATGGGCTAACATGACATGACGGAGATTCAGCATCCCCAATACCAACTGACCCCATCCCCATCGCGGGAGAGACTGATCAATTAAGCAACTGTCCCCGAACCCCGCTCTTTCGTCATGGTGTAGGTGGGTGTTACAGGAATATGTCCAGATCCTGGTTGTGATCCCGCAATCCTATGCGTATTTTAAGTTAAGGTCAAAAACATCATGATACCTTGTAGAGAGGGAGATACATAGGTACCCCCTGTAAAGTTTCTCCCATGGCTGAGCTCGAGATTCAGTTCCATCAGCCGAGTGAGAGCGGGAAAGATCGCGAGTACACTTTCGTATTTTGACAAGAAGGGGCTAAGTACATGTAGTTAATTATAACCTCGTAGTTGTACGAGTGAGCTGAGGTGATTGACTTGCGACTGGTATGCTGCTGAAAAAAACACAATACGACTTAGGACCGTATAGGTACTACCACTACTTGGAGGCCGAGATCCGAAAGTAGATCAAGTACATGTAGATAGTGGGTACATCTTTATTAGTTAGTTAGCATTCAATTATTATTATAAAAGCCAAGCAATTAATATATAGTAAATCTAACTGGCGGGGGAGGGATCATGCATAGAAGCAGCATGGAAGGAAGCTAGAAAAACGCATGTGTCCTTCTATTTCTGGCGTTCCGACCCTTTTGGTTTAAAATCTGACTGGAATCTGTACAACCACGCCTGTGATAGGTGTATTTCCACCAGTGTGTCCCGTTTGTGCGATGATGGGCGGGTTTCCCACTCTTTGTTGAGTGACGCCCGGGGTTCTGGCTAAGCAATTGAGGGAGGATATGTGTATGTAGAGTAGCTGCCATCATCTATCCATCTACTGACGAGTAAGCAGAACGATCTAGATCACAGCACACTGGAGAAAGGCAGAAGGGGGGAGACTAAGTTACCGGTCTCTGATCAGATTCGGATGGACGTGCAGTACGTTTTCTGTCGGTTGTGTCACCTGCGGGAGAAACAATACTAATTGGAGGGAGTGTGAAAAAGAATGGTGTGGTGTGGAGGAGGCTGAACCTGGAATTCGACAGAGAGTTTTCGCTTTCACACCTTCCCCCTTGTTTCTTTTTTTTTTAGTGCGTGAGCATGAGCGTGAGACTCTGTGATGTCATGCATCTTGCCCTGGTCCTCGGTACCGATGATCGGTGATAAGTAACTCATCTAGATACAAAACATTACTGGACCAGCCAGCCAGCCAGCTGTAGCGGATATAAAGTAGAGTACTTGACTAGTACATACTCGAATCTATCACCTATTTTGGAACGTTACACCATCTACGCTGACCGAAGAAGATGTTACGCACCATGGTACTCTATTCTCTAATGGCTTTGGGTCTAGTGAGGCCAGCTCAATTGAAATCTGCTACCAGAATAAGCCATAGCTTTACTACATGTATCCCTTCGCTCCTTCCATCATCCATGTTAAACGGTCTCCATGACAGGTCGAGTTCCATCTGTGTGCGGCTTACCTATATATGTATGTGCGTGTCTGCAGTGCAGTGCAGTACTGACTACCTAGAATACTCTATCCTATGTCTCACCTGGCAAAGAAAAAAAATATTTCACCCTCACCAACGGTGGTGTTCATATGCGTTCTGTGTTAGCAGTCGTTTTATACCATCCAGCCATCCATTGATTCTCCACCGATCGTTTTAATATATACAGCGGTAAGAAGTGCATTACCGAGTTGCCGACGGGCATCCGGCGGTTTAGTCGTGGGGGAGTGAATATTCCTTTTGGCCGGGACGGTACGGTGAGAATGAGGGAGATCGAGGAAGAGGAGGGGAGAGATATAATGTCTCTGTTTCAGGGGAATCCCCAATTGAAGATCTACGGTTCAGAGAGGGACATAATATTACATGTGTGGGTGCTGTACCGGGTGAGTTGCAATTATTACCTATCGCATTTAGGTGTAGGTACTTACATATGTACTCTACTACAATAGCTATAATTGCCATGTTATGGAACTGCGAGCTACAGCTTCGCGGTTCGGGTGGCACGGGAAAAAAGGGAACGCCTCTTAGCTGCTGCAAAATGGCCGCGCATCATGGCCATGGAAGGGCCAGAGAAGGAAGCCAGAAAAAGCGAAAAAAAGAAAGAAGAGAGAGAAAAAGTAAACTTTCTGCACCTAAGGAAGAAGCAAAAAAAAAATAATAGGATGATATCGAATTCGCCACTTGACGACATGGAGTGAAACCATTCAATTGGACAGGAGTTGCAAGATACACAATTGATTTAGGCACATTGCAGGCTGTCAAAGTGTAGATTGAGTATGCTATGCACTCAGTTATGACCTCTACCGAAGCCCTACTACTCCCTCCCATATGAAGTTGTTCCAGGCTTAAATTTGTTCAATAAGGGCTTAATGAGGTTTTTTTTTCTTCATGTAGGGACGGCTAGGCAGCATCAACGGAAACGCCCATCTTGGTACTACATGTATCTACGATTATTACCCATTAACTACATGTACTGAATTGAGATTGGGGAAGAGGGGTCAAGAGAGAAAGAAGTTGAGTCGAGGCGAGACGAGCTCAGGTCGTCCATTACTGGTTTTTGAGGACATGTTTCAACAACCTGTCACACACAAGGAAAGAATAGCTATAGTAGTTTACACTCCCATAGTCCTCATTGACGGTCGGTCTGCTCAGAATAATTGCCACACTCGCCTTCACTCACTCACTCACTCACCCACTTACTCAGTTACCTCGCTCACCTAGTTCATAAAGCAGAACCAAAAAAAACAGGATATCGCCGTTAACGCGTTCGCACTCCGAAGCCACCACCACCACCACCACCACCACCACCACCACCTCCGACTCCGACCCTTCCTACTCCTTCCTATCCACTATCTTACCTCCGTTGCTGACATCCAGATATACCGACGCGACGCCAGTCAGCTTTTACATCTTCTCGCTCAAAGCAAATCGCTTTCAAACAAATTATCAATCGCACGCAGCATGGAACACGCGGGACTCGTCACTTTGGGGTAACGGCTACCGTTTTATCCATGCGTTAATCCCAGGGGCCAGGGCCAGGGCGTGCGCCAGGGGTTTGTGCCCGCCACGTTATTGTGCGGAATTCCCCATCCGGTTTGCAGAGCCCTGGAGATCAAAAGAAAAGAGATCGAGAGGTGTGAAGAGGAAAGTAGCCACTCACAGACAAATAAATAATAGTAACAAGGACGCCAAGTAATTAACCTATTGTTTCTAACGGCATGGGAAGAACTGGCGGGGGTGGTTGGTGAGAAGGAGGGAGGGAGGGAGGGAAGGAGGGAAGGAGGGAGAATGGTTTTGAGTTAGTAGAGCTAGAGTAGTTAGAGGGAAGTCGGAGCACCTCATTCTGGTAAATGGCAAGGGTGCGAGCAAATACAAGCAATCAATAATCCCAATTGAGGCTTCTGGGACAATGTTTTTTTTTCCTTCTTACCCTTCTTTTCTTGGTTGATGATGACCTAGGGTGTGTATACCTGCTGCCATGTGTGGCCCCGAAAAGCAGAACTGTTGAACTTACGGACTATGGTTATCGGCTCTAGTGTGAAGAGGCTCATAGAGAACAACAAAAATTCAGATCAGACATGGATGTGGTTACACGGCAGTACAGCTGCAGGACCGCCCGACTCTCCGCGAGCCACCCCTGCTCTTCTGCCCAGTGCCAATTAAAGCTCGTGAAGGAAAGCAAAGTGGGTTGGGCATCTCCACCATGCACCACCCACCTACCACCCACCACCATCCGCTATGGAGCACCATCCACCCCCTCCCCCTCGCAGGGCAGCGATACACTGCTTGGATCCATGGACCCACCTCTCTGCATGTCGTGCAGTAGCTAGGTGGGTATGGTACGGATGATGGTTGGTGATGTGAGAAATGAGAAACACAACTTTGGGCCTCTCAGCAGCAGCAGCAGCTCATGGACGTCTAACTCTGCAGCTGCCCTCTCTCTAGATGGGTGCGAAATCAAACCAGTCAAGAGGCAAGACGGTTCTCGAGATCAGATAGATGAGATTGAGGTTGGTACTGATCATTCACAGAAGTGGTCCGCCAATGCATTCAAACCCTGTTTATCATGGCCACGGAGGAATAATAGTAATAATAATAATTTCACATCCCACCTTCACATTTTCATTTCATACATACATACATTATACGTTATACGTACATACATACAGTACACACACCATACATCGCATAACCCAGCAAACTAGTACTCAACACGACGCTAAGATGCTAACCACCCTCCTCCTCCTCAGCCAGACAGGAAGAATCACTACATACCTGTGTGGCCTGCCTGCATCATGGTCACCGCAAAATGCTACAGACCTACTTTCGCCCATTCCAGGTTCGGCCCGTCTGAAAGCTTTGCGATTTCACTACAGCCTTTTTAATAAGTCAATCTCGCCCATGTTGTTTCTCCTCAAAGGACTGACGACGACAACTACTACTACTATCACTGCAACGGACCTCATCAACCCTATGGTTCACTGCTAGAGTATATACCAGTGCTGCCACTGTACCGATACCGACTGGCTTCGATTCGACCCCTACTGCTATCCGCTACATATATTTAGACATAGATATATATACATATACACATACTCACCCCCGACTGCATCTCCCAAATTAAATAAAAGAGAGTCCGCCCCCCCTCCCCAATCATCCATTCTCCACCCCCGCCATCACACAGACAGTCGACGCTACCTCACCCACTAGGCCCAACTCCCCCGTCAACCACCAATTCCACCCCCCCCCCTCTCGCTGCTGTTGTGGCCTTCCGTTCGTTTTTTCCCACCACCCCCCATCATCACCCCCGAATATGTCTACCAGCCCACAATCAATGAAGCGGTCGTTCGACGATGCCAGCGATGCCTCTGGGCACCCCGACATGCCTACAAAGAAGGGCAGGCCCTCGTCGACATCCAATGCTAGCTCGCCCAGCAACAATAATGTCCCGTCGATCTTCAACGATCTTGCGGGGAAGGGATGCCGCATCCCGACTATCAGCAGGAAGGTGCGTGCGTGCTCGGCGTGTAAGAAACAAAAAATCAGGTGCGACTTTGAGGAGGGAGAGTCGACGTGTGTCCGATGTAAGAAAATGAAGTTGGACTGTGTGGTCAATAGAAGTTTGCAGACGATCCTGGATGAAGATGTGGAGTAATTATTCCCTCGTCTCTTTTTTTTTCACCTCCATCACCATTCATCCATCACCAGTCCCATCATGGACCTCTACTTGGAATATGGTCCCTCCGGAATGCGTTTTTCTCGTTTCTTATCTGTTTTGGAGGGCGATCATGTACTGACAATCTGGCAGATGGAAACACCAGATGCGCGAAGACACGGTCCAGCTACAAAGTGCTGTGGACGTCATTCTGTCCAAACTGGGACTTGGAAAGTTGTCGGAGTACGATAGGCGCGCCACCTCGCCCGCAGCTTCTACAACCTCCACTGAGCACCGGAGTGCCATTGCAGGCGCTCACCCACACTCATCTACACGGCTGCCGCTGGGGAGGATAAAGATGGAGCACGACGATAATAATAATAGTAGTATACATGGGCATGGGGGAGTACATGGAGGACATGGGAGATTATTAGCTGTAGGAACGGCGGGTATGGATGACCTTCGCCGGGAAAGCAATGCCACAGAAAGAGAGGGGTCCCAGGAACCTCATGATCATGTAGGAAGCACACTGGTCTCGAACCCAATGGGCTCGCTCTACGAGGTGACAAAGTTCCGGGGCCTGCGCACTCAGCGGGCTGGCGGGGAAAGGTACCGGCATCCGTCAGAGATGGGCGGTGATTTCATATCAAGGGAGGTCATCACGCAGCAGGATGGAGAGGAGCTTTTTGAAATGTATGCACCGATCGTAGATCATAATGGTCAGCTACTTCTACCTCCGCCGCCGCTGCCGCTGCTATCCCATCAAGGGGGTGGCGGAGGTGGTGGTGGGGGTGAGGGGGATGACATGACTGGGCCAAGTACGTGGATGTTCTAACGAAATTGGGGGAAATATTGTAGATTCCGAGATTCTCTCAATCACTATCTGTACGGCATCGCATTGACTCATGACACCCTGGAATCCGTAAGAGCATCCTCTTGCCTGCTCTCTGCTGCGATCTTCACCGTAGCCTCTCTCTACCTGCCTCAACATCACCATCTGTACAAAACCTGCTACCAGGAGTTCCTCAACCTGGTGTCCTCATCTATGTTTGACCGCCGCCACGGATTGGACGACGTCCGAGCCCTCTGCATCGGCGCCTTCTGGCTCCATGACCTCTCTTGGAAGCTCTCTGGGCACGCCGTACGCATTGCTACGGAGCTGGGCATTCACCAGTCGTTTCGGAAGGCACTTGCTGGGTCACCGGAACACTTTGAACGGGCACGGCTATGGTACTTGCTCTATGTTTGTGATCACCATTTTTCAATCGCATACGGCCGACCCCCGGTAATACACGACACTGAGCCAATGCACGAGTGGGAGATCTTTGTGGCGTCCAAACAGGCTATCGAGGGCGATAGTCGAGTGTGCAGTCAGGTCTCGCTGTTTGTGGTGCTCACACGGGTTTACAATTGCTACGAGGCAGAAGCCGAAAAGGAGATCTCGGACGACAACCTGAAGGAGCTGGCCGAGTTCAACAAGCAGCTTGATCAGTGGCGGGCAAGATGGATGAGCAAACTAGGTAACATACCACCACCGCCGTCCTCCTACTCCTCCTCCTCCTCCTCCTCCTCCTCTTCCTCCTCCTCCTCCTCCTCCTCTTCCTCCTCCTCCAACATATTCAATAATATTGCTGCGAGCCGCCGGTATGATAATAACGACGGCTGCTACGATAATAACCACAATCATCAAAACCAAAATCAAAGCTCTAGTAATAATAACAATACGAACAATGCAGGGCGGAACATAAAAGTCGGTGACTATCCGAACCAGGGCGTCGGCCTACACTACAACTTTGCAAGACTCCAGGTCAACTCCATCTCCCTCCGTGGTGCCTCCACATCTACCATCAACAACCCCTCCGCCGTCCGCAAAGATCATGCTACAATTGCCATCCACTCCGCCTTCCAGGTGCTCTCAATAGTCCTCGATGTCTCCGACATCCGGGAATCCCTTGTCGGTGTCCCCCTCTACATGACAACAATGATTGCCTTTGCCGCCGTCTTCCTCCTCAAAGTCACTGCTCGCTGGCGCGGCATCGGTTTCTCCCCCTACGAACCAGACCAAGTTTGGGAACAAGTCAACCGCGTCATAAACATGCTCAAGGAAAAGCGTCTCGGCGAGCAGCACATTATCCACCACGTTGCGGCCGGCCTCGAGAAGATGAGGCGAAAGTGCATCGAGCTGTCAAATTCTAGCAGCCCCTTTGACGACTCCCGTCTCTGGGATAACTCCTCGTACCAGATCCAAGCGCCGCTCCAGCACCAACAAAACACTATGCATCTCCCTCCGGTGGACCCACGGCTGAGAGACGGCATGCCGCCGTACTCACCGGCGAGCTCGATGATGCACGGACATCCCCAACAGCAGCAGCAGATGTATATGCAGCAACAGCAACAGCAACATCACGCTTACTCGCCGCATCCAAGCCAGATGGGACCGCCGTCGAGTACGTCGTCGGTGGGGAGCACGCCCGAGGCAATGTATCCGCAGACGCTGGGGCCGCAGATGTATGAAGTGAACGGACAGTACTATCCAGTACACATGGGTATATTTGATTTTCTGTCACCACAGCTGCCATATTAGTAATTAGTAACCCCCCCGATATAGACCTTTTCTTCTGTGGATATTTTTGTAGATATTTTTTGATGTATTTATATGCCCTCCACAAGCCCCTTCTTTCTTTTGTTATTCTTTCCATTTGTCATCTTTTCCTTTGTAGGCTTCGGATTTTGCTTTGGATTTCTTATCTTTTTTTTTCTTTTTTCTTTCTTTTTGGTTTCTTGTAACTATAGCTTGTGAGCGTGTCTTATACCAAACCCATAGACGAAGGGGAAATGCCGGAAGGAAGGCATGGATGGATGACGGTGGAAACGGGAAAGTGGAAAACGATCGATGTACGTAGAAGCTGAAATAGTAGTCAGTTGAATCAAGTAGTCCACTCAATGTGCAAAGAGCGTGATACAAAAAAAGAGTAGATTGTAAACAAGCAGATTTCAAAGATTAGGATCGTGATGACGATGTCTGTACGAATTAAAGAATCAAAGAAGTCAAGGTGAAGGGGAAAAGATCCCAAATCCCGGAACAGCATACCCACAAAGAAAAACCCCCCTCACAGAAAAGACAACTTCAGGCGAGCGAGATATATATATATACTTTACACACAACACAACACAACACCACCACCCCATCGATCGTGAATCAACCTCGGTCTAATGTGCCCCGGGCCAGAGGGATGGGGAAATGGGGGAAATGGAGGGACGTCCGGAGCTCCTCCGGCCGGCGGCGGGGTGGGTGGGTTGTAGTTTTGATACTGCTTTGAGGTAGATTATGTTATACTTGTGGGCGGAGAGTTGTGCGGGTGTGCGTGGGTCGGGGGGATAACCGAACCGCGGTTGGGGATGGCCATGGCCTATGGATGGATGGCCTATGGCAATATGGGGCGGTCTTGGGCTGGGGGTATTGGTGGGTGTGTTTGGAATCGAGAGATGAAGGGAGAGAAGAAGAAGAGAAGAAAAAAAAGAAGAAGAAGAAGAAGAGAAGGAGAAGAAGGAGGAAGGGAGGGGGAGAGAGCTGATAATTAAAACAATTAAAATCCAAAACCCACAGGCAACTACACCGAGAATCAACACCTCCGTACGTCTATCAATTCCCCCATTCTCACCTCCTCCCCTCCTCTCCACGTAACACTTCATATAAAGAACAAACCTCCACATTCCTCATATCCCTATATGCGGCGATCCTATCATCCTCTATGTACCTACATCTCCGTTGCGAAGGTCGCGGCAGCTGCGTGGATCGGCCTTCTCTCCTACACAGCCCGATTGGGTATATTTAGGCACGTAGCGAGCACGCGCGTGAAGTGGGACGTGCGGAGGCTGAAGATATCGGTGACCGGAATTGGGATTTGGGGGAGGGGAGGGGGCACGCAGATCTATCTTGGAGGGGGGCGTGGGGTGGGTTTGTGGTATTAGGAATATTGGGGGTAGGTTCTTCAATTCATGTTCTGTCACTCGTGGAGTGTTTTCGCACTCGATGCCGGTTGGGTATGTTTAGAAACAGACGTACAGCGGTACTCTACACTCGGGAGAAAAAACTACATGTAACAATCACAATTCCAATTTAAGGCCCAGCTAGTTAGCGCTCGTGGCAGCGTATTGGTCATGATTAGGCCATTCTGCACACTGAAGGCTATATCATGAGTACGAGTCTCGCTCGTCTGGCCTGCCTGTTACTCGTCGCCGGTCAAGTCCGCGAACGGTCTGTCTCAGGCCAACTGGCCGGTCTTTCTTCTTCGTCTACTTCCTTATGCCTTAGGAAGTTACGCATGATCTCAATTTCTGAAAATACGTACCAAAGCCCACACATGTTTGCAACTCCGCCCTGAAGTCCGATCAAAAACTTCCATCACTGATCAGGAAATTAAAAAAAGTACCTACCATCACAACGAACCAACGAATTCGAACCCAACCCAACGAACCCCGCAAAAATAAAAATAAAAAAAGGAATCTGTTCGCAGAGGAGTCCGAGCTCTCCTCATACCTACTGAACTCCATTCCGGCCTAATTAGTAGTAGTAGTATTATCGAAAGGAAGAAGAAGAAAATATGCAACACCGATCCTATATCGGAATTGCTCGCGGAGTGTCGGAAAGGACGTGGGTTAGGGTTTCTGCGTGGGGGGGTGCGAGTGTTAGTTATCGCATGAACATATTGGGAATTCCGCGGGAGTTTCTCGGATGTGAGAATGGTTCTTAAGAGCTCGTGGTTTCCCTTCTTTCTTTCTTTCTTTCTTCCTTCATTCTTCGTTTTGTCTTCATTTGGAAGGGGATCATGGGAGGAGGATTTGATGCCACCGTTCCACGCCAACCGGCTTACCGAAGAGCCTCAACCTCACCTAACCTCGGGGGTCTCGACCGCTTACATAAAGCACACTTATACACCTAACCCATAGCCAATCTCACCGTTATTGAGCCTCACAAAGAAAAATGTTTTCTTAGTTGTGACGTCATTAATGAGCCATTGCATTAGCGGCGTTCTCCGAAGTTACAGGCACGAGATTGCGGGGGTGATGTCATGGAGAGAGAGCGAGGGTCGAGAATTGGGGACAGAGGACTCGATCACAGAGGGGTGACCTGGAGGGGGAAGATGTTAAACGGTTTTAACGATCGGCGGGTGCCTGACGTAGGGTGACGATGGATGGGAGGGATGGAAGGATGAGATGGAAGGGATGGAAGATGGAAGGGGTGCGGTTGATGGCTGATGGGCGGTGATCTGGGAATGGATGGTGATCTGAGAATAAATGGGAATGATCTGTGGATTGGAGGGATGGGGCGAGGATTGTGTTCCTGGGAGGGGAATGGATAAGGGGGAGGTATGGGAAGAGTTATTGCTGCGAGGGGAATGGGTGGATGGATTCAGGGACACGGCGGGACGGGTGGTGGATTGGATTGACAGGCCTAGAATTGTGTGGGAGGAAACAGGAGGAAGGAGCCGGGGGAAGAGGAGGAAGGAAGGGACCCGTGTTGCGAATATTGCATATATTTGATTATATAATCAAATAATTGAGCCGGAGTGATAGTTCGTGATGGGGTTTACCGCGCATGGAGGATCACCGGCCGGCCGCCTCAGAGACATTATTTATATTCGGGTTACGCATTCCTTAGCAACCAGGTTGTTGTGGGACCGGTTGCCATGGCAACCACACAGATCTCGCAGCTTTGAGAGACGATGGCTTCTCAATCACTGGGGATGCTAAGGATATTTTCGATTTTTAGGGCCGTTTAATGTGCCTGTAATTCGGTGTCAAGCTCGCGTGGCATTATTGGGCTGATTAGGCATGTGTCCCTGTGCGGAATTGGGTGCGTGGGTATAACAAGTAGAATTGCTGAGCTCCAGGATCTAAAGGAGATGCGGAGACTCCCTACAAGTACTCAGCTTCCACGATGTCGGCTTCTTAGCGTGGACCTGATAATTCTTTTCTCTAAGAGTTGTACGGCCCATGGATCGAAAAGGGTTGCGTGTGACAAGTGGTCCGAAATTAGTGGTCCTCTTTGGATGAAGATGACACCTAATCTTGGGTTCCGTCTCTAGCTACGAAACGTGTTTGGAAGCTGTTGGGGGTGTCTTGTGTACTTGTAGTAAGGCCTATATTTTGGTCTGCTTATATAGGTATCGAGCTATTTCCAATCATTGTAAAACAGATCGTGATTATTAGATCACTCGTTGAAAATGCTCTAGGCGTATGGAAAGAATTACAAATAAATAAAAAACTTTATTCTACTCCGAGATATGCGGTCGATCGAAAAAGAGATCTTGAATATCTGGCTCTTCAAATGACGCTGAAACCGTCTTCGAACACATCATGTGAACACTCTGTTATGTCCGATCCGTCGCTATAAAATCTCTGCCGATTTTACTTATATTTTCATTTCTCATTCATTCATGTCTATCTCGCTTCCCTTTTATCCTCATTTTGTCTTTCTCGATTCCCGATACCTGTATCATCATGTAGTGTTATTTACGCGGGGGGCAGGGATAGGGGGTATGCATATACGTATAGCAGTTTAAGGTAAAATCAAGTCTCGTTCCCAGACCCATTCGGTATTTTTCTTTTGGTGATTGTAGTTGGCTAATTATCTACCTGGAGGGTCGTGTGTGCTTACCAAAAGTCCTTTTTTTTGGTCTGGTTGCTATGCCAAAAACCCCGACTTCTATGCCAAACCCCCTACCGGGGTGAATGAGAAGCCCGACCGCCCTGCTAAACCGCTTTCCCCCAGAATATTATTATACCAGACCCCACTGGTATTAAAAACGATATACCCAACCATCTCAAAGAATAAATTACCCAAAACCAGAAATCACCTCGACGAGAACCGGTTATCGAGTGATAATCCAAGATTAGAGATTTCTGTTTTTTTGTTTAATTTATTAATCGTATGCAGACATGATTAGAGAAATATTTTATACCCCGATTTACTTTGTATTAAAAATACACCTGCAAATATTATTAGGCATTACTCCTAACTCCTGAGTTTGAAAGATCATTTATTAATTTGCGAAGACCGTACTGGAGCTCGAGTGTGATAATTCACCCATTTACATATATGAAACGAATTCGCCCTGGTTATTCTAGTGATCGTCTTAATGAGTCAATAAATCAATCAATTCTAATAACCTCTTACTTGAATTAGTATTCGTGTGGCTCACACAACAATACTCTACACTTTTCGGATGTGGGATCAATGTTTGGATTCGAATTTCGTTGTCATAACGTATCACTCGTTCACAACCAATGGGGCCAGAAAAAACATCAAATCCAACGATCTTTAACCTATAAACAAAGCCCTCCCCTCCTTAAAATATTTTTTATTTACAAAGGCAACGGCGGATCCGACGCCAAAGTCACATCCACACATAACGGCGCTATCACAATCATTAGCCAAAGCCTCTCTGCCCACAAAACTAACGAAAGGAAGTGAATATATACATACCTGCCACCCCCACGGGCTTGTACCTCAATTCCCACCTATTACCCGACGCCGGCCTCACACACAATCCCGCGCCATCCACCAACACAAACTCCACC